TCAGCAGTTGAGTGTGGGTACACTGTGTTGTTGCAAAAATGTTTTTTGCGGTCGTAAAAAAAAATGAAAGTTGTTGGTATTATTACCATATACAGTCTGAATGTACTGTTTGTTGATAATAACTATTGTAATTTGTATTGTTTTTTTATTGTAATTTGAAAAATACACTTTGCGCGATAATAAAAGTTCGTCTGAACAGAATGACTGTCGCAGAGAGACTGGGTTAAATGTGCACCAAATATCCACTATCAGTCCAAATTACCTGAATTTTGGCACACCCAACCGAGTTCGGCCTAGAAGCAAGTATATCAAATTTGGAGAAAATCGGTTCAGATATAGCTATAGCTCCCATATATATCTTTCATCCGATTTGATCTTTAAGTCCCTCACATTCCTACTATGCACTCCACAACCGTTATATTTGGTACCAGGTATTAGATGGAGCACAGAAATAGCTGTTTTAAATTTTATCGAAATCGGTTCAGATTTGGATATAGCTCCCATATATATCTTCATCCGATTCCGGGTTAATTGACCACCAAATGGCCAATATCAGCCCAAATGACCCGAACTTTGGCACATGTGACCGAGATTAGCCTTAAAGCAAATACAACAAATTTGGAGAAAATCGTTTCAGATATAGCTATAGCTCCCATATATATCTTTCATCCGATTTGGTGTTTAAGCCTCTCACATTCGTAATATGCACTCCACAAGAATGATATTTGGTACCAGATATAAGATACAGCCCAGAAATAGCTGTTTGTAATTTTATCGAAATCGGTTCAGATTTGGATATAGCTCCCATATATATCTTCATCCGATTTCGGGTTAATTGTGCACTAAATGGTCAATATCAGCCCAAATCACCAGTCTAGAAGCTAATACGTAAAATTTGGAGAAACCCGGTTCAGAGATAGCTATAGTTCGTAAAATCCTCCTTACTGGTTTTTTTTTGGAATTGAAAAATTGTATAATCGTATCACTAGCAACAAAAAATGCAACATGTTAGAAGGTAGTATTCGATCTGCCCTCAACATATTGTTTGACCTTGAAATAACTGACTGGCTGAGAATCAACGCTCAGACGAAACGGCTGAATCTAGAATCTTCAAATTTTGTACGAGATCCAGTCTTGGTGCGTAGCCGTGTGATATAGCTGGGTTTTTGGAAATTCGTACTTAAAAACGGACGAAAAGTACTAAAAATTTAATATTTCACATTAGTCAAACGAAATGAGTTAAAATTCTGAAATTTGTAATGAGAGTCATTGATCGAGAGCGGGATATATGTACTAAAGGATTTTTGGAAACTCGCACTTAAATTTACGAAAAGTTCTAAAATGGTTCTAAACTTCCAAAATGGTACCATTTGATATTATGTGAACGGATAGAGCTGACCAATTATAATTTATAATCATACTCAAGGATAGAAATAAATTTGATGTATGAAGGAAGTTCTGTAAATGTGTACTAAATGTGCGAACTGTACTAAATGGTACTAAATTTGGACTAGTTTGTTTGAGGGTGAACGTATAAAGCTGGAATTTTTAATTTGTGAATTTGGTTCTCTTTTGGTGGTAGCTTTATGATGAAGAGAGCTTTATGATAAAGAAAAGTACTATATAGTACTATATTTGGTACAATTTGGTATTGAGAGAACAGATAGTGCTTGAAATCTGAAATTAAGAATTAGGATCGTTGTTCATGTGTAGCCTAGACATATAAAGGTGGTTTTGGAAATGAGTACTGAAATTATACGAAAAATACTAAATAGTACTAAATATGGTATTGGGTGAAAAGATAGAACTGGAATCCTGAAATTTGATATAGATCTCATTATTGGTGTCTGTGGTTAAGATATGAAGGTGGTTTTGGAAATGTGAAAATTGATGTTTAGATAACTATTCGTATCTGAGGTAGAGATTTATAGGTGGGTTTGGGATAAAATTCTGAAATTTGAAATTTAAATTACTGAGATTTTGTTCTGTTTGAAATTTGGCGGTGGTTCGAAAATACATTCTTAATTTGTAGGAAATGGTACACAATTTGGTATTGGGTGAAGGGATAGGCCTGCGATCCTTAAACTTGATATTGAGATCTCTGTTGGTATCTGCAATTGAGATATGGAGGTGGTTTTGGAAATGTGTACTATTATTGTACGAAAAGTACTGAATGGCACCATATTTTGTATTGAGCGGAGGGATTGAGGTAAAAATTTATATTTATTGAACTATTCGTATCTGAGGTTGAGATGTATATGTGGGTAAGGGATAAAATTCTGAAATTTTAAATTTAGATTACTAAGTTTTGGATGTTTTTGAATTTTGAAGGTGCTTTCAAAATACATCCTATATTTGTACGAAAAGTACTAAATAGTACACGATTTGGTATTGGGTGAAGGAATGGGGCTGCGGTCCTCAAATTTTATATTGAGATCCCTGTTGATATCTGAAATTGAGATATGAAGGTGGTATTGGAAATGAGTACTAAAATTATACGAAAAGTATAAATAGTACTAAATTTGGTATTGGGTGAATGGATAGAGGCGGAATCCTGAAATTTGATATGGAAGCCATTGTTGTTGTCTGCGGATGAGAAGGCGCTGGTTTTGGATACGTGGAATACAATTGCACTAAATGGTAGTCAATTTGGTATAAAAGGAAGTTACAGAGCTGAAATTCTGAAATTTAACATTCAGATAACTGTTGGTATCTGTGGTTAAGTTAGGGAGGTGGTTTCGGAAATTTCTTCTAAAATTGTTCGAAAAGAACTAAGTGGTACTGGATTTGGTATTGGGTATTGGGTGAAAGACCTTGATTCCCGGAATTGTATACTGAGGTATCTGGAACTGAGTTTTGGAGGTGTTTTTGGAAATGTGTGCTATAATAAATTTAGTATTGGGTGAAGGAGAGAGTTTTGGACCTGAAATTTCGTATAGATGTCACTGTTGGTGTATGTGGTTAAGGTATGGAGGTGGTTTTGGAAATGTGTGGTATACATGGTGAGATGAAAAAACTGCAACCAACGTCGGTTAGCTGTTAAATTTATTCCAGTGACAGCTCATTATATTCTTTACAAGCGTACCAAAGCATTTTGCTGATAATTTTACAGAAAAATGTTATTCGTGATGGAATTTAAGCGTGACAGTGTGATTTCTTTATATTTGGCTGGAAAACCACAAGTGGCTATCGTTAGAGCACTCCATCATTTAAATGTGAATAAATCTTTTGTGTCTCGTACCATTGCCCGTTACCGTGATACTGATAGCGTAGCCCGACGTCACGGAAGTGGACTGAAGAAAACAGCAGAAATGGTTCGAAAAGAAGATAGTTGATCGAAACCCGCATCGCAGTGGCCGAAAAATGGCTCGTGAGCTAAAAATATTCAATATTCCATTCGGCAAATATTGTAAAATGAGCTCGCGGTAAAGCCATTGGAATTCCAAAAAGTGCAAGAACTTACACCGCAACAAAAAAAATAGACTCAAAAGACCTAAAAAATTGCTTCGCTTGGCCGAAAGTGGTTAACTGCCGAATGTGGGCTACTCCGATGAGAAAACCTTCGTTGTCCAGCAGTTTGTAAACAAACAAAACGATCGTATTTACTTGCCAAAGAGGTCAGCTGAAAATGTGCACCTTCGGTTGGCCACCAGAACTCAAGCACCGGCCATGCTGATGGTGTGAGCCGCCATAACAGCCGATGGTGGCTCACCACTCCTATTAATCGACCGTGGCATCAGAATAAATGGCGAATATTATCGCGAAAATATTCTGGAGGGTGTATTAAAGCCACGCAAACATTTTGGCCGCAGACCTTGGACATTCCAAAAGGACTCAGCACGCGCCACCCAGGAACGGTTACAAAATGAGGTTCCTAGCTTCATTTCCAGCGCACAATGGCAACCAAAATCTCCGGATACTATTGTTTATGGAGTATTTTGGAAAGCAAGGTTGGCACTAAAAAATACCAAAGTATAGATCACCTCAAGCAAGCGCTTCGCCGGGAATGGGCCAAAATACGGTTTCATTGGCCGTTTAAAGCCCATAATACGTGCCAAAGTTGACCAATTCAAACAAATCTAAACTTATTCTAAAATTGGATGATACATTTTTGACATTTTTTGCTTTCATTCAATAAAATTTAAAAAAAAAAAACTGTAAAAATTATGGCGTTTGACTTTGTTGTAGTTTTTTTTTTTATCTCGCCCTGTATATAATATGCTTGGTGCATCAAATAAACGAAATCGAGATATATCCAAATCTGAACCGATTTCCATATAATTTAGCAAACACGCTTTTTAGACAAATTCCATGAAACATTCCAAATTTAATTAAAATTTGGCGTACTCAGCGTGTTTAATGCATCAATTACATGGAATTGGCCCAAAATATATAAGGGAGCTATATCCAAATCTAAGCCGATTTCAATATAATTTGGCAAATTTATTTTTGTTCCAAATTACGCAAGTCATTGCAAATTTGGAGAATGTATCTGCAATTGATCAATAGATATGTGCATATAAAATGTAAATTTTTGGGAGGTACCCCCGATTCTGATGCTATATATCCAGTTTCAAGTGGAATTTCAAAAATGTATACAGTCTATGTTACTTTCAGGCGATGTTGTAGTATACTTGGAAATTTTCAGGAAAATGTGTGGAGCGGGTTTCGAGTTCATAAATTACAAACAAACAAAAAAGCTTACAAACAATTTCCGCTTTTATAGATAGGATTGTGAAATAATCTCAAAATATTGGGGTCCCTTTTTATGTGGACAAGGCTATGTAAACGGCCTTAAAGAAAGTTTAAATATCAGAATTGTAACCCAATCATGATGAAATAAAAGATAGGAGCAGAATTTCTGAAATTTTATTTTTTAATTATCCTTTTCGTTGTTGAAAAGACAATTCTTATCATTCACCAGCTACACAAGAGATATTTTAATATTTGTAGCTATTAATTTAACAAAAAATATTTACCTCCTATCATTCAATTTGCAGAAAAAGATCCCGAGGTTGTGAAATCAAATAATCAATATGCTACACTAGAAGGACTGAGTAAATATACCAACTATTCGGTGTGGGTATTGGCCTATACCAAGGTTGGTGATGGTGTGAAGACCAAGCCGTTCTATTGTCGCACTCATGAAGATGGTAAGAAATACCCTCTCTTTTCACAATGGAACGTGCCTTGAAATATATTCTCTCTTATTCCACCTGCAGTTCCATCAGCACCACAGTCCATAAAGGCCATACCGGCATCAAGTACAAAAATTATTATATCCTGGTTGCCGCCACAATTTCCCAATGGCGATATCGTAAGACAACTTATCAGAAATAATTTATCTCCGAATGAAAATACAATTTAATTTTTCTCAACAGATCGGCTACACATTCTACATGTCAATGCTGGAAGGTGGGCGCGAAGAGGGCACCCACAAACGTATCCTTGGGCCCTATGTCGAAATGCACGAAACTCAACGTACTCAGGAATCGGCAACCTATCAATTTTGGCTAACGGCATCGACGAAAGTGGGCGAAGGTGAAAAGACAGACGTGGTCACAGTGCCACCGAATAACAAGGTACCTGCTCGTATTGTCTCCTTTAGTCAGCGTGTTGTTACACCATGGAAAGAGAATTTAGAGTTGACGTGTCGTAAAGTGGGTTCTCCGGCACCTGTTACCATTTGGCGGCTAGATGGTCATAACTTGGAGACTAATGCCCGTAAGACGATTGCCAAAAATGGAACGCTAAATATTCGTGAAGTCCAGTCTACCGATGCCGGCAACTACACCTGCAGTGTTGAAAATACCTGGGGCAAAGATGAAATTGTTTATAGCGTTGTGGTCAAGGTACCACCGGAAGCACCAAATCTCACGGTGATTAGTGCCTATTCGGATAGTTTGTTGTTGGAATGGTCGGACAATAGTAATGGCGGTAGTCCCATCCTTGGGTATGTCATTAACTATAAGCGGGACAATGGAGACTGGGAGGAGCTGCAAGTTGATGCCAAATCCTATTCACATTTACTCAGCAACTTGTGGTGTGGCACCCGGTATCAGTTGTACATAACGGCTTTCAATAAAATCGGCACCGGCCTGCCCTGTGACATTGTCAACACCCATACTAAAGGCAATCCCCCCGTGCAACCGAAACATTCGCAGATGATAACAAATAATTCGACAAGTGTTACCTGTTGGCTGGATTCCTGGGGTGATGGTGGTTGTGGTATTTTATATTTTATGATTGAGTCGCGGGTTTATGGGAGGTGAGTATGAAAGTGCCCAACCCACTTCCTACTTCCAGATGTTAATTTTTGTTTTCTTTTTTTTAATTAGATCCACATGGACAGTGGTCTCCAATCATATACCCTCAACGGAACGAATTTACACAGTTAGTGATTTACAACCCGGCACCAAATATCAACTAAAAGTCACCGCTCACAATAACGCCGGCTCTACAACGGCATTGTACAATTTTACAACATTATCGTCTCCAGGAAATGGATGTAAGTAATTTTTTGCTGTTACACGCGGCTTTTAAAAAGAACATATAAGTCAAAAAAAAGAAGCTAAAAAAGTAGTAAGTACGGACAGGCCAAACTTTGCATACTCTCCACCGTTTGGAAGGAACTTCAAAAATTAAAAAAAAAACCGTCGAAAAATACCCCTCAAATGAAAACCTTTGTATGGGGGCTATGCGAAGACTGAGATGCATAAGTAGTTTATTTTCTTTTTTTGTCATATACCTATATAGACAATTCTCTTCTAGAGGGTAAAGTACTTACAATGAACTAACAAATTCTGGGGTAAATATTCATGTGGAACAGTCTGTGCGAAAAAATGGCAATAAAAGACTGAACAAATATTTGGAACAATTTCTAAAAAAACAGCAACAGAACAGTTAATTTCGGTCTGGACTCCTACTCGCTCATGTTTATGGCTGCTCATCTACACATGAACATTTCGGGAATAACAGGGTGATATTAAAAAACTACAACAAAGACAAACGCCATAATTTTTACTTATTTTAAATTTTATTGACTGAAAGTAAAAAAATGTCGGAAATAGCATCAAATTTTAGAATAAGCGTAGATTTTTTCACCTTTGGCACGAATTATGGCCTTTAAACGACCAATAAAACCATCACACGCTGCCGAACGTTGCTCTGCGGTATTTTGGCCCATTTCCGGCGAAGCGCTTGCTTGAGTTGATTGACAATTTGGTTCTTTTCCAAAATACTCCAGACACAATGAGTGCGATGGTGCTGAGTCCTGTTGGAATATCCAAAGTCTGCGGCCAAAATGTTTGCGTGCCCGAGCGCGGAGAGCGACCATCGGCCATCACCACGGCCGCCGCTTGAGTTCTGGTGGCTAACCGAAGGTGTAAATTTTCAGCTGACCTCTTTGGCAAGTAGACACGATAATTTTGCTTGTTTACAAACTGCTGGACAACGAATGTTTTCTCATTGGACAAAACTAAATTCGGCAGTTCACCATTTTCGGCCAAGCGAAGCAACTCTTTAGCTCTTTTGAGTCTATTTTCTTTCTGTTGCGGTGTACGTTCTTGCACTTTTTGGAATTTCAATGGCTTTACCCCGAGCTCATTTTTTAATATTTGCCGAATGGAATATAGCGATATGTTTACCTCACGAGTCATTTTTCGGGTTTCGATCAAGTCGCTTCTTTACATTTCGAACCATTTCTGCTGATGTTGCTCTTTTCTTCCGTCCACTTCCTTGACGTCAGGCAACGCTACGAGTATCACGGTAACGGGCGATGGTACGAGACACAAAAGATTTATTCACATTTAAATGCTGGAGTGCTCTAATGATAGCCACTAGTAGATTTCCAGCCAAATATAAAGAAATCACACTATCGCGCTTGAATTCCACCACGAATAACTTTTTTTCTCGAAAAAATTCTCACCAAAATGCTTTTGAACGCTTGTAAAAAAATATAATGAGCTGTCACTGGAATAATTTTAACTGCTGTCGGACGAGTGGCTTAGAATGACAGCAGTCTGAAGTTGGCTGCAGTTTTTTCATCTCACCCTGTATATGAGAGCTATATCTAAATTTGCCCGGTTCTCAACAATTGCAATAGGGTTCGTCATTGGACCAAACAAATATTGTTTGGAAAATTTCATATCAATCGTAAAATAAATGCGACCTGCATTTTGATTTTTGTGAACAAAATGAACAAACGGAGGACAGACGGACTGACATGCATAACTCGACTCAGAAAGTGATTCTAGGAAGATCCTCAAAAGTAACTATGAGTCTATATCGCTTCCTTCTCCATGTTACAAACAAATTCACACTATGTGGTGTAGGGTATAAAATTGTCAAAGTACCGAGTATCGGGAATTGCCTTTATAAAAGTGGTCCTGTGTAGACAATTTTTTCGAGAATGCAGCACCTATATACCAATTTTTATACAATTCCATTGAAAAACGTAGTTAAAGTCCTCAAAATAACGAATATAGTTATTTGCAACAAATGGACCTATTCTTTGTAAGATTACTGCCAGTTTGCCAAATTTATCAAAACCGCTGCTAATATCGGTCACAGAATGTCAGAGTTTGTCCCTGCTCTTAGCCACTTAAGTCTTAAAACAGTGCTCTTACTTTTCTTCAAAGTCTGGAATTTCTGTAGAGAATTCAGGGGGCTTTGTAGAGGACTCCGCGAACAGGCCTCGTCTTTTTCATTATTTGAGGTAACTTCAGAACTTCAGAGATATCTTCGCGTATAACATTTTCTTGCTTTTAATATACTCATGAGATAAAAGATGTGAGATCAAATCCAATAAGGGCTTCTGTAAAGCACTCCTAAGCCGAAATTTACTTTGAAATATATCTGACATAGATCTACACCTAGAGAATTAATAATTTTAAATTGTCTCTTTAAAACCTATTTACAGTTGTCTACAATACCGATTCAAATGCCATGCCCACCATAACGGATAGTCCATTTTATGCCAACTTCAAAGTTTTGCTGCCAATTTGCATTTCACTTTTTATGCTGCTTGGTTTGGTGGCAGCAGTCCTAATCATACGCAAGCGCAGTAAGTATACGACAATTCCACCTTTAAGTAAACCTTCCGAACAGTGAAATTCTCTTGTCTCCAGAAATCAGTAATCAAACCCGTCTGGCGTCATCATCGATGTCGGAGACACCCTCCCTCACCCAATTGCAGAATAAGCAGAATCGTGATCAGCAATATTTGGCAGTGCGTTGTAATCCCAATGTGGGTCCACCACGCACCTCCAACTCAAATGATTCCGGTAGTTTTGGCAAGGCCGAGGGCAACGAGTACATTGAAGACATTTGCCCCTATGCCACGTTCCAATTGAACAAACAACCCTACAGTGAGAGTTCGTACAGTGGTAATGTTTACAGTGGACCCTATCACTCGGTGAGGGGTTCATTTGTGTATCACGATGTCAAGCCGGATAGTTATCATGTAAGTGGGAGTGCAAAGGGTAAACAATACGGATGTGAAAATATATGTTTTTCTTTATCTTTTTTAGACCAAAGAACCTGAATACACTAAAGTTCGACGAAAGGTGGGTCGCCTGCGTGATCCACATTCCGAGAGTCAAGGTAAGTTTTGCATTTTCGAGTAAGTCTTTTGAGATTAGTTGGCATAAGATTAGAAGAGGTTTGAAAACTATCCCAAAAACAACAAATTCCAAACCTGCATGCATCCTTGAAGGGGCGAGTGTAAGCTCCCCCCGTTCCTTCCCTTTGTTATGCGTATATCAGCAACTAACCCAATTGGCTTTACCATAACAACTCATAAAATCATAATTTTTTTTTTATTATTTATTTTTTTCGATGAAGCCAGCTAAGAGTAGTAAAAAATGGTTATATTTTTAACCTAAAAATTTCGATTCATTGAAAAGGTTAGCAAATACAAAAAGTTGGGTAAGGACAAAAAGGCAATAATTCGAAATTCGAATGAGTGCCTTCTTGTATATATACTATATCGTCCCATTTCGAAAGCATATTGTAATATAACAGTCTTCGGCCAGGCAAATAATAATATAAGACCATTTTTCTTCAAATCTCCCCCGCATGAGTTCAATTTTTTATACCCTCAGCCATATGGCAGAAAAGGGTATATATCATATGATACGGGCAAAAGTGCCTCATCGGGATATCCGACGCTCTGTCTGGCGTCAGGCCAGTATCCGAATTGGTACGAACTTGGCACATCGTAATATTATTATCAAACTTAGATCGAGTTCCGAGAAGACAATATCGGTCCTTCTTTTACCTACCCCACAAAAGGTCGAAATTTTCAAGAATTATTTTACCGCTAAGAAAGAGAAGGAATAATCCGATTTTTCTCAAAATTTGCAAATCATAATATTTGCATTAGTGCCAGGTCAGGTGCGGTCTTCTCCATCAAGTACCTCCCCCACAATGAATCAAAATTGTTAATAATTATAAATCTTATAAAATGTGGTGTAAGAGTCCGATTATCTTCAAATTACACACATCACAATATTTTTATTAACCCAAGTTCTGGTGTGAAGACGGAATACATCGGTCCACTCCTGGTGGCACCTCCCCCACAACTGGTCAAATTTTTGAATATCGATAAAGCTCATAAAAGGCGAAATTAACATCCGATTCCATTCAAACTTGGTACATTTCAATATTTCCACCAACGCAAGATCAGTTATAAAGATGGTAGAGATCCGACCACTTATTCAAATACCTCCCCCACAAAGCGTCGAAGTTTTGAATAACACAAACGATTATTAACTCCGAAACCAGAACCCGGTTCTCCTCATACTTCACACATCCAATTATTTCTACTAACAAAATATATGCTGTGAAGATGGGATATATCGGTCCACTCCTTCTGGTACCTCCCCCACAAAGGGTCAAAAAAAAACTGCAACAAAGTCAAAAGTCATAATTTTTGCATTTTTTTTTAATTTAATTGAATGAAAGCAAAAAATGTCGGACATAGCATCAAATTTTAGAATAAGTTTAGGTTTGTTCGAATTGGTTACCTTTGGCACGAATAATGGCCTTCAAAGGGCCAATGAGACCGTCACTCGCTGCCTGAATGTAGCTTTGAGATATTTTGTTCCATTCCCGGCGAAGCGCTTGCTTGAGGTGATCGACATTTTGGTATTTTTTAGTGCCAACCTTGCTTTCCAAAATAATAGTTCTTCAGACACAATAGCCCAACGGATTGGTATCCGGAGATTTTGGTGGCCACTGTGCGCTGGAAATTAAGCGAGGAACCTCATTTTGTAACCATTCTTGGGTGGCTCGTGCTGCGTGCGATGATGCTGAGTACTGTTGGAATGTCCAAGGTCTGCGGCCAAAATGTTTGCGTGTCCAAGGCTTTAATACACCCTCCGGAATATTTACGCGGTAATATTCGGCATTTATTATGATGCCACGGTCGATTAATACGAGTGGAGAGCGACCATCGGCTGTCATGGCGGCTCACACCATCTCCACGGCCGGCGCTTGAGTTCTGGTGACCAACTGAAGGTGCACATTTTCAACTGACCTCTTTGGCAAGTAAACACGATCATTTTGTTTGTTTACAAACTGCTGGACAACAAATGTTTTCTCACCGGAGAAAACCATATTCGGCAGTTCACCACTTTCGGGCAAGCGAAGCAACTTTTAGCTCTATTTTCTTTCTGTTGCGGTGTAAGTTATTGCACTTTTTGGAATTTCAATGGCTTTACCCAGAGCTCATTTTTCAATATTAGCCGAATGGAATATTGCGATATGTTTAGCTCACGAGCCATTTTTGGCAACTACGACGCGGGTTCCGATCAAGTCGCTCCATTACTTTTCGAACCATTTCTGCTGATGTTGCTGTTTTCTCCCGTCCACTTCCTTGACGTTGGGCTACGCTACCAGTATCACGGTAACTAGCGATGGTACGAGACACAAACGATTTATTCACATTTAAATGCTGGAGTGCTCTAACGATAGCCACTTGTTGTTTTCCAGCCAAATATAAAGAAATCACACTATCACGCTTGAATTCCATCACGAATAACTTTTAATCTGGAAAATTCTCACCAAAATGCTTTTGTACGCTTGTAAACAATATAATGAGCTGCCACTGAAATAATTTTAACAGCTGTCGGACGAGTGCCTTAGAAATGACAGCAGTCTGAAGTTGGTTGCAGTTTTTTCATCTCACCCTGTATATGTATATATATCTCACCCTGTATTTGGTGCACAATTAACCCGAAATCGTTTGAAGATATATGGGTGCTATATATAAACTTGGACCTATTCTTCCCAATTTCAATAGGGTTCGTCCTTGGGCAGTACAAATATTGTTTGGAAAATTTCATCCCAATCGGATAATGAATTCGACCTGCATTCTGTTCACAAAAATACATGGACATGCATACATCGACTCAGAAAGTGATTCTATGAAGATGCTTAAAAGTAACTATAGGTCTATCACGTTTTCTTCTACATTTTACACACAATTTCACAAAGAAATTATACCCTTACCACTATGTGGTGTAAGGTATAACAATTTGAGTGGTTGACTCACTGATGGAATCATCAACGCCCAGATAAAACGTCTGCTAAAATCTTGAATTGCATGAGAGTCAACCAAGCCGACTGATAATTTTTTGCGAAGGCTTCAATTTGTTTTATTTCATTATTTTAATTTTTTCTTCGTTTTCTCACTTTTCATCACTGACATCTTCTTATGCATTTATTTATTTATTTTTACATGCATACCATTGTCCTATATCTATATCTCGAACATATATGAATATGTAAATACTACCACGTTCACCACCACCACCAACACATCACTGTCATCGTTAATCTCAACCTCAACCATAATTTCAAACTCAAAATCAATCGTTTCAAAATCCGTCATCAAATCGTACTATAAACTGTTCTAGAATCGGATAATCCAGGCTCAACAGATTCCGAAGTTAGGAAAATCCTAACACTTCACATACCAATTACAGAATATGACACACTCGGCTCTGAATCGGACAACGATGTATCAGCGAGAGCTATGAACTCGGCCAAATATCGTCCACCGAGAGGTAAAGTTTTTTGTCAATAATTTTATTTTTCATACATCAGGTTTGAAGGATAATCGTTGTTTTTTCTTTTCCCATTTCAGAGACCCAAGATGAATCGTCGTCCTCGTCGGATGCCACACCAACAAGTTTAAGTCGTAAATTGAAGCCACCCTATTCAACGCGTAAGGGCAATAAAACCGGAACGACGGGCAAGAGGCATATTCGTTCGTCGAGTGGTTATTCGAGTAATCATGATGAGACAACTTTTAGGTAAGTTTGTATAAGGACCATATCTTCTTATTTGCGGAAGGCTCAGGGGAGTTAATCGATATATAAGAGGTGTGATATCTATAGAAAGTCTTGGAAATCTTAGAAATATAAAAGGAATTACTGCTTTAGAAGATTTATCAAATGTATTCTATCACTGACGGAGGTATTTTTACCATAGAACACCCGTTTAAGGTCTTCTCCCTTTGGAATGCCTTTTGAAGCCCTATCGGAGACCTTCTCTGAAGAAGGCCTTTTGAATGCCTTTTTCTCTAAAGAAGACATTTTTAATGTCTCTGGGGAAGACATTTTGAAGGGATTTTCTATTAAGAAACCAATTTTAAAAAGTCTATTTTTTGAAAACTTTTCTATACCGAAAACTCTTCTTCTCTTTAAAAAAGGTCTTTGTTCTCTTGTGAAGATGGAAGTGCTCAAAGGAAAAAAGAAGAAACTTATAAGGCCTTCTCCTTGAAAAAAATTTATTCTCACTTAGGAAGGCTCTTTGAAGGTCTTCTCTCTAATTATAAACTATTATTATATTATTATAAAGTCTATCTATAAAAAGACTATTTAAAAATATTTTCTAAAAAAGACCGAATAAGACGCTTTGAAAGTTTATTCTTTTGAAGATCCTTCTTTGAAAAAGTCTTCTGAATGTATTTGTTTAAAGAAATGACTATAAATACCCTCTCCCAGAAGGAGAATATCTTCTCCCTGTAGAATATCTTCTCTCTCACGGATTACTTTTGATACTCGTCTCTACGAAGAAGACCATTTAATAGTCTTCTCCCTACGGAGATCTTGTAAAACTCTTTTTGCTATAGAAGAGCTTCTGAAGATTTCTCAAGAAAAAGCACGTTTTCTAAAAAAGACTTCAAAATTCTTTTCTAAGAGCAAAAGCCTAGTTTGAGGGACCTCTCTGCATAGAATAAATTTTGTTCGTCTTTTGAAGAACCTCTCTCTCTGAAGAGGACGTTTTGAATACCTTTTCTCTAAAGAAGACTATTTGAAGGCTCCTAGGCCTTTTTGCAAGTCTCCTCAACGAAGAAAACTATTAAAGTCTCCGTTCCTTTTAAATATGTTTGAAATATTTTCTATATAAAAGCTTTCTCTCTGTAAAAGAACTTTTGAAGGCCTTCTTTTCAGAGAAGTCACTTGAAGACCTACACTCTGAAAAAAGTCTTTTAAATGTTTTCCATCTGAAAAATGGCATGAAAGCCTTCTCTCTGCTGATGACCTTTGAACTCCTCTCTATGAAGAATACGCTTTTGAAGGATTCTCTCTGTAGAAGAATGTATCTTTACAATAGACCCTTTGAATGTCTTTTTTTTTTGAGAAGACTTCTAAAACGCTTTTACTCGAATGGAGATTTTATCTCTAAAAACGACATTTTTAAGACCTCCTCCTTAAAGAAGAACACCTTCTCTCTGAAGAATAATAGCTTATTTAGAAGATAGAGCTTCGTAATGATTTTCTCTACAGAAGAACTTTTAAGTTTTAAGTTTAATCTCAGCTATAGAAGACTTTTTGATTATTTCTTCTAAAAAAGTCCTCTGAGGAAAAGCCTGTTCTCTACAGAAGACCTCTTAATCACCTTCTTTGTATTGAAGATCTTTTAAATGTGTTCTCTATATTATATGTATTCTGTTTTAAAGAAATGATCTCTATATAAGAACATTGAAAAGTTTCCTCTCTGAAAAATGCCTACTCTCCACTGGTGACTTTTTGAAGATCTCCCACATAAAATCCTGTTATCCTTCGCTCTATATTTGTAGAGCACTTTTTCAAGATCTATGGAAGGCCTTTTAATTGAGAACTTTTTAATATTAAACAAGTAAGCGAAGGCTACAGTGCCGACCATGTGATACCCTACAACACTACAATATGTTTGGAAGAATTCGTTTTTGAAAAGATGTCACAGAGCCCAGCCCAGATGTTACCCTTACCGGTGTCATTTGCCCAATATTTGCTCTCTCTGTCGCGCTGATAGGTATTCAAAACACAAAAGGTGTGTTCCATTTTACCTGTTTTATATGATCCAATGGCCATCCAAATGTTAGACTGGTCAATTGTGACCTGAAGAGCGACTGATAATTGCGACCCTCAACACAAAGCGTTGTGGGTTGTAGAAAAACTTTAGAAAGTGTACAATACGATAAAAGAATGGACATAATTAAAAAAAAAATTAACAAAAAATATTAATTTTTTGGCATATTTATACGAGATTTTCTTAGATTTTATACTTTTCTAATAAGCGATCATTCCGAATTGATTAGTTTTGAAAATCAGTCCAGCGGTTTTTGACTTATAAGCGGAATAACGACGATACATTTCTTTTATTTTTAATATTTTGCTATATGCTATATATGGCTATCAGCCTCACTGCAATGGTCAGAAGTGACCTTAAAATGTATTTCTTATTTCGCCGCGATTAAAAATATTCGATTAAGTATAATTTTTTGACGTAAAAGTTATGTTTATTTACCCGCTAAATGTTGTCCGATGACCGTCCAAATTGGTAGGCCTAAACCCTTACTCCATGCAAAATTCCGCGTCGATTGGTTTATAATTGTGGCCTGTAGAACAACAGCAAAATCAAGAAATTTTCTGGTTTTGATACATTTCAACCCCTAAATATTTTCGGATCATCTTTAAAAACAATAGGCTACCATTCTGACCGCACCTCCGCTTTTAAATTCGATAGGATCGGGCCATAATTGCTACCTGTAGTGTGATTACAAATTAACATGGACAAACGGACGGACGGACATATATAGCTAAATCGATTCAGCTCGGCGAGATAGAAAGATCCATTTATAGTTTCCTATGTCGGGGACCTATATTTCGAGATGTTACATAATTTTTGGCCCAATAAAACTTGTCATACTGTTAAAAGTTAATTTGTTAATTTCTAAAGGAAACCTTTATCTACCTTTACAAGGAAATTTGAAAGTTAGAACACATTTTAATGGTCTTCTCACTAAGTATCCACTAATAGAAGCATTTTTGAACATCGTCTCTCAATGGACGACTCATTTTCTCAATAGACAGTATTATCTCTACAGAAGAGTTTCTATCTACAGAAAAAATTTTAAGTCCTTTTACCTGCAGACAATCTTTCGAATTTCGTTTCTATAGAGGACTTTTTAAGAGCATTCTATCTTCAGAAGATCAATTGAAGGTTTTTACCTTTAAGTTTTTTTTTTCAATAAGACATTGTCCTATGTATAAAATCGCTTTAAAAAGGCTTTCTCCTTTAATATTTAATAATTTATCTTTTTCAGTATCGCCAACTTCCCACCCAACTATCAAGATCACATAAATCCTCCTGCTCGATTTTCAGATGAGAAATCCAGCAACAAATCACAGACATCGCCGCGGGTGCGTTCCAACAGCAAACTGCAGAGGGAGACATTTCAGATAAATGTCTAATAGTAACCAATGGACGTCCACACCCGTCCACCAACACCCCCTTCGACAGAATAATGGCTGAATGATTTGTTTTGGTAAAATGAAATTCCCCACAAATCGGGCCCCCTGGATTATAGGTCACTAAAGACAATCTTCCTGCTTTTGAATTAAATTCAAATGAGGAATGATTTTTGTTCGGCCAAAAACACAGATGTTTTTGATTGTCCTTTGTTTACAAACAGAAATTATTAATGTATTTTGTGTAAATGTTGAATATATATAAAGAAAAAAACAAAAACAAAAATATCGATGTAAAATGTTATTAACTGCAAGTGACTATTATTAACCAATGTAATTGAGATTGTATATACATATACATTAATGAAGGCATATACATATAGACACATACACTTACACATAAACAAATAACACACACACAAACACATGTATGAATGCATTAACAAAGAACTGCATAAAGAAATAAATAAATAAATTATTTTAAATATACAAAGAATGGTAATAACTAGACAAATAATAATAATGAAAACAACAGAAATTAGGATAATTGATATTCAAATATTAAATATGTATGAGAAAATATATGAAAGAAATGATTGAATCGAATGGTTCTAGCCACCAACACAAATGCACAACCAACAACCACCAACCACCAACCACCAACACCAACATCAAACACAATCTGATTTTCAGAATCACTTGGTCACTGGTTATATAGATATATATGAGAAGAAAATAATATGCGCTGGTGTTGGGAACACTCTGTTTGAAATTCAAAGAGAAAAATAACAGTTTAATAAAAATTAATAGGAGATAAATGTTCCTTGTAATAACTGGCTACTGGCTTTATACATATTATAAGGACCTTATCCACGTTTTTTGAAAATTTTTAGAAATTGTGTAGAAGGTCTATAATATGTATAAAACACGTATAATGTCCCCAACTATGTTTTGAAGTTTATATTAATTTTTATAGCCTTACCGGATGAAGAGCTATCTGAATTTCTATTTTATATAGAATATCTTATTAATAAATGTTATGCAAATAAATTTTTCTATAGGTCATCTACCAACAGAATGCCTTTAGTAGATATGGTATATGAAGTTACCTATATCAGTTTTACGATCAGAAGCCTTCGGTCGTATACTCTTATATACCCAGAGCTTCTGTCTGTGATAAACCCATATACAGGGTGGGTTAAAAAACTCCAAAAAAGGCAAACGCCAAATTTTGTCCATTTTTTTTAAATTTTATTGAATAAAAGCAAAAAATGTCGGAAATAGCATCAAATTTTAGAATAAGTTTAGATTTGTTTGAATTGGTCACCTTTGGCACCAAATTATGGCCTTAAAACGGCCAATGAAACCGTCACATGCTTTATTTTGGCCCATTCTTGGCAAAGCGCTTGCTAAAGGTAATCGACACTTTGGTATTTTTAGTGCCAACCTTGCTTTCCAAAATACTCCAGACACAATAGTCCAACGGATTGGTATCCGGAGGTTTTGTTGACCATTGTGCACTGGAAATTAAGCGAGGAACCTAATTTTGTAACCATTATTGGGTGGCGCGTGCTGAGTGCGATGGTGCTGAGTCCTGTTGGAATGTCCAAGGTCTGCGGCCAAAATGTTTTGTGTGCCCAAGGCTTTAGTACACCCTCCAGAATATTTTCGCGATAATATTCGGTATTTATTCTGATACCACAGTCGATTAATATGAGCGGAGAGCGACCATCGGCTGTTATGGCGGCCCACAACATCACCATGGCCAGCGCTTAAGCTCTGGTAGCCAACCGAAGGTACACATTTTTAGCTGAACTCTTTGGCAAGTAAACACGATCATTTGTTTGTTTACAAACTGCTGGACAACGAACGTTTTCTCATTGGAGAAAATCAAATTCGGCAGTTCACCACTTTCGGTGTGAGTTTTTGCACTTTTTGGAATTGCAATGGCTTTACCCCGAGAATGGAATATTGCGATATGTACAGCTCACGAGCCATTTTTTCGGCCACTGCGACGCGGGTTACAATCTAGTCGTTTCTTTACTTTTCGAACCATTTCTGCTGATGTTGCTGTTTTCTTTCTTCCACTTTCTTGACGTCGGGCTACGCTACCAGTATCACAGTAACGAGCAATGGTACGAGCCACAAAAGATTTATTCACATTTAAATGCTGGAGTGCTCTAACGATAGCCACTTGTGGTTTTCCAGACAAATATAAAGAAATCACACTATCACCTTGAATTCCATCATGAATAATTTTTTTCTGGAAAATTCTCAGCAAAATGCTTTGGTACGCTTGTAAACGATATAATCAGCTGTGACTGGAATAATTTGAACAGCTGTCGGACGAGTAGCTTAAAAATGACAGCAGTCTGAAGTTGGTTGCAGTTTTATTATCTCACCCTGTATATTCTTGATCAGCGTAAAATTCTAAGACGATTTAGAGATGTACGTCTATCTGTTGTAATCACTTTCGAACGAATTGAGATAGAAGGCTAAAATTTTGCACACATGTGTATTTTGCCAGTAGGCAGGTTATAGCCCCCATATAACGGTACCTGCCGATATTCGATATTGTTTCAAAATTCGTATTCGAAGTTTGTAATGGGTTACTATAACTTATGCCTAAGAATTTCGTATGCAGGTCTACGTCTCCTTATAGCTCATATAACGGCACCTCCCGATATTCAATTGTTTTAGCGACATTTTTCACCCGAATCGTTTCACATTTTGTATTCGAATTTCGTTATGGGTACTACAGTCTCAGCCTTAAAGTGTCGTATGCAGGTTAACATCTTCGTATAGGCCCCATATAACGGTATCTCCCGATATTCGGTATTTTACTGATTTTAGCGACATTATTCTCCAAAATTATTCCAAATGTCCTATTTGAAGACCATAATGGGTACTACAGCCTATGACAAAAAAATACTTATGCAGGTCCACGTCTTCGTATAACCTCCGTATTAAGGTACATTTTTTAAGTTTCTTCCAAATGGTGGGGGGTATTACAAGTTTGACCCAACCGAACTTAGCTTCTTTTTTACTTATTTTATATGTCGTTTATGTATTTTAAACCTTTCAGAAAATTTGTCATGTAAGTCATTGATGGTATGATGGACCGGGTTGTTTGAAATTCGTCCTCAAGGGTACCAAATGGACAAAATGGTGCGGCACTATTATTTTGTGAACAGTAGCTGCATCTTTTAAATTATTCTGCGGTATTTTTCGAAATTTCCCTTTTATAGAGTTCATTGAGGATCATTCAATGTGTTTTGAATAGAAGGATTTTATAAAATTCTGGTGTGTGTGTGGTGTGGGGTATTCTTAGAAATTTGTACTTAATACAAATGCGATTTCAGAAATTATATTTTTTATTTAAAATGATGTATAAAACTAAACACACAAAAGGAATTTCCAGAAAATTGCCAGTACTGGATATTTGTAAAAATTACAAAGGATGCTGATGCCTGTTCATAGTATATCATTAACAAATTGAAAACATTTCCCAAACAAAATTTTGAAATTGTTATTTTTCTCTTTGAATGAAACCACACAAATTAAGTTTTGTACATTTTAATAATAAATATATATAAAAAACAACATTTATGTTATATAGAAAAATATTTTGTTTCCAAAGAAAAACCAAAAACCAATTGACTGATTTCAATTTGTTGCATTTATTTTAGTAACCAACAAACAAACAAACAAACAAATAAAAATACATAACACTAAACTAAGTGAGTACTTTAAAAGACTTGAAACAACAAAACAAAAAACAAACAAAGTATTAGAGAAAATAACAACTGTATAAGAAATATAAAGGAAATAAAAGAAAAAAAAACATGAGATTACTTCCCGAAAAAAGAAACCTATTTCAAATTATGTATTTATTAACATTATTATTATATATATCCAGTAATCACATATTTAGATATACAAAAGGAAACAAAAAATGTTAAAAACTACTCGGTGCACCAGTGTAAACGGAATATATTTATAAAGTGTTTGCAGGAGTTTGATTAAGAAGTTTTACTTTGGCGACGACAAAATTAAATTTTTCCACAATTTCAGGAAAATTGTCAGTAGATTATGAAAGTAGATTGAAAAATATTAATAAGACCCTCGCAATAACTAAAATCAGGGTGCACCGTTATGATAAGATATGTACTATATAAATAAATTTTTGTATTTTAATGATACATGTTGAATATACAAATATCATTTGATAAAAATTTGATATAAAAATGGAATCCTGACGTTTAGGTGGGATTTAGACTTCCGGTGTCTACCAAGGACCTATGGTAGAATTTTATGACAAATACATTTGTAAAATATTTTGACTTGCTACACTTCCGTTTAAATTTTTTTTATTTTTAGCTTTTAGTTAAACAAAGGACCACAAAGACCCTTTGGTGACTCGCGCAAGGGTTAAAATATTCGACCACAATAATTCACATATTATTATTTGTAATATCGCTCGGTATCGATTTAGAATATTTCTTTCATTGGCACTTTCTGTCAAATACGAAATTTTATGTTACTTTCATTATCCAAATGCAAAAAAAAAAAATAAGGAGAATAAAATTATAAAAAAATTATGTGCAGTAGAAATAGATCTTCATTTTCTTCAGGTACTTATATTAAATTCGATGAAGAATATTTTTGTCTTAGACATTATTTTACATAAACTAACATAAGACACGGCTTTGACCTTTAAGCGTGTTTTTATCAATTATGGATTCCCGTCGTTTAGATTAGATTTAAGGTGAGAATACAAAAACACCTTTGTTTTTGCTGGCTTCTTCGTAAACGAACAAAGGAGTTTTACATTGACTTAGTTCAATTTCGACCTCTAAGCTCCTTTGTTTTGTTACGAGAAGCCAGCCGAGGCTTTGGTATTTTTAGTGTCAACCTTGCTTTCCAAAATACTCCAGAGACAATAGTCCAACGGATTGGTATCCGTAGATTTTGGTGGCCATTGTGCGCTGGAAATGAAGCGAGGAACCTCATTTCGTAACCATTCTTGTGTGGTGCGTGCTGAGTGCGATAGTGCTGAGTCCTGCTGGAATGTCCAAGGTCTGCGGCCAAAATGTTTGCATGTCCAAGGCTTTAATACAACCTCCAGAATATTTTCGCGGTAATATTCGGCATTAATTCTGATGCCACGGTCGATTAATACGAGCGAAGACCGATCATCGGCTGTTATGGCGGCCCACACTATCACCATGGCCGGCGCTTGAGTTCTGGTGGCCAACCGAAGGTGCACATTTTCAGCTGACCTCTTTGGCAAGTAAACACGATCATTTTGTTTGTTTACAAACTGCTGGACAACGAATGTTTTCTCATCGGGGAAACCCAAATTCGGCAGTTCACCACTTTCGGCCAAGCGAAGCAACTCTT